ACTTAAAAAAATATTGCTATGGTTCCAGCGATGAAGATCCCAATGTTATTCGTCGACCTAAACGAACGTTTATAAACAATTCCATGATAGCCTTGCGCAAACCTTTTTAAATACCGAAACCAGAGCCCTATTGCACCAACGATTTATATTAGCATTTTAGCAAATTATCAAACTTGCGCAAAGTTTTGTGTTTCACCAACACGATAAGGAAAAGTCACACAAATGAGTATTGATAAGTAAAAAAATCCCTCAAATTCATAGATAAGCGTTGCACCAAAATTTGAAATGCTTAGCGAAAAGATTTTAGCGGATAAGTCATAAGTTATGCAAATTATTAAAATTTATTAGCATTTCATTGCACCAAAAATTTGTATTTATCACTTGTAATTTTTCATTTTGCTAACTTTGGCATTATTTTGCTAAAAATAATTTTACCTATCATACCAGTGCAAGTAATAAAAGGCGTGTCATAAAAAAAAGCAAATCAGCTACAGTTTATTTATATATTGGTGCAGTAGAAAAATTGCGGCTATCTCGTAGCCAAATTGAAAAAATTTTATTAAAAATTGGAGTGAACCTATAATATATATAGTGAGCGAAATAATGGCATGGTTGAATACATGGGGTCCACAAATTAGCGCCATGTAGAGTAATCCATCGAAAGGCAAATGCTTGGATAAACAAATTGATGGCTGAAACTACTTGTTGGCCGGAATTGCCAATATGAAATTAATTTCATTTACATTATAGCACGTTACCGAATACTTTTCCAGCGCTGCTCCATCTTTGTTTAAGAGTGTTTTGAATGGAAGTAATTACTTAATTTACGTATTTTATTTGAGCGCTCATAGTGCCCCTCAAGAACCCTTACTATAGACATTTTTTCTAATCGTTCAACCAAATCAGGACTATGCATGCCTGATCCAGTATGGGCACGAGTAAATAAAACCATTGCCGAAATACCTTAACCAGCATCGGAGGTGGTCATTTAAATAAGGTTGGCCCAATTATAGTAGAAAATATTCGTATCGTGATCGGATCGTGATCGGTCTTTGAATCGCAGTGCTTTGTAATACGATTTGTGTAATGTGTGTTGCGGTTTCTTTAAACAATTGATTTTCTAAATAATAATAAAATGGTCCGGAATGAAGCTACACGTATTATTAGAAAGGCGAAACATTTGTACTTCAATAACAAATTAAATCATTCGCTACCCTCGAAAGATCTAAGACGCAATACGAAAAACCGTAATGTATAGGAAAAATTTTACCTTAGTGTACTATTGATCCTGAAACACTAAATAATTTCTATGACGGATTTTAATCTGGGGCATTCTTGTGTCGAAAAGGAATTTTAGTTTAAAGGTGTTAGTGAATTGAATGTGGTGAATGTTTCAGAAATTTATCATGATTGCATTACCATATAGTTATTATAAGTACCTTTACCCACATCATTCGTTTTAGTTTCCCATGTGCATCATTTCCCTCTAGATGGAAAAAGCTATTTACTATACCTGTTGCTAAAAAAACAATTGCACTTGATACCAGGGGCGCACCCAGGAATATATTTTAGGGGGGGTTTTATATTTCTGAAGATATATCACCGGAAAATACTGAAAATTTTCTTCAGATAATACGCTCTTTAAAATACATTTATGCAAGTTTTATGTACAGTATGTAATAAATAAATAAACGTTTTAAAATTCATAAACTGCACTTTATTTACAGATTAACAGAACTCAAATGCTTTTAACCGACTTCAAAAAAAGGGAGGTTATCATCTCGCCGGAATACATAACTTTGGACCACGTGAACCGTTTTCAATAATCCTTTTTTTATTAGAAAGATGGTACCTCAAGGTTCGTCCCGTAATTTGTTTTAGAGATCCGATGATTGGATCATGAAGAAATTAACGGTACCCCTAAATTTGAATATGAGAATTGAAGTCGGTTGTGTTCTTTCCTTAAAAACTACTTGTTTAATAAAAAGTTCTATAAACTCAAGATGCGCTCAACTTTCAAAAGTACCTAATAAAAAATTTTAAAAAAGAGTCAGTAAAAATAAATTTATTGATTCCATGAATTTTTGCACTTCTATGTTCATTTTTTCGATTTCTGGTTTTCGATAGAGATGGTGATTTTTCACGATTGCTAAATTTTTTTAATATTTCAAATACCGAAAAAATTAACTGAACTCTCAAGAAAAACGAAAAATTCATATAAAACGACGGACGAGAAATGGAAAAGAAATTTTCTTCTACCAAAATTTCTTAAATCAGTTTGCAGCTCTCAAGAAAAAAAATGCTCGTATATTTATTCCCTCATGAAAATTTACAGCAAAAGCAAAGCGCTTTTTCAAGCAACAGAAATTATAATAAATATTTCTTATAATTTCCTTGAGAGCTGGATTCTTAGCTTTAAGATACAGATTGTATTTGAGGTTATTAGCTTTAGGGGGGGTTTGAACCCCAAAACCCACCCCTTGTGTGCGCTAATGCTTGATACCAGTGATTACAGGCCAATCAGCACATTGCCTGCCTTTTGCAGGTGTCTGGAGCTATTATGGCAGCACAGATCTCAGCTTATGTTCAACAAAATAATTTACTATCCGCACGGCATCTGGTCTTCGAGTCCAACACAGCTGTTGCACTGCAATGTTAAACATACTCAATGATACCAGAGTACAGCGTGATCAAGGAAACAAAACTCGTATCTTCATTTTGGACTTCTGCATGTCTTTTGACATGGTAAACCATGATCTTCTGTTTCAGCTATCTTAAAGGGAGAACTCAAAGGGTAAACTCTCAGTGCAAAACAGTTATCTTAGGTGTTCCGCAAATGTCTACCGGAGCTCCACTCTTGTTTAGTCTTTCCGTTAACGATGTGTTTCTGTATGCCTGTATATGAATGTTCATGCGTACGCCGACGACATCAACTGTACTTGTTAAGTCGTATTTATTAGTCTAATCGAAGTCATGTGCTTTAAAATTGATTCTGATCTGTTCGCCATTTCTGTCTTGGTCACTGTTTACATTTAAATACCTCTTAATCGTATGTTTTACCGAGATAAGTAGTAATGTTGTACATGGCGAGGATATTCCGAGGCTTTGGATTGGTAACAAAGCTATTTTGTTTACTGATAAAATGAAAAATTTAGGCTTTCTTGTTAATTCCAGATTAAGCGGCGTCTTTGCTACTTTACGTAGATTGAAAATTTCTGCCCCATAATTGGACGTGAGCTATCAATTCAGCTTATTGAGCGTCAGCACATAAAATCGAGATGGCTTTTAATAGAGTTACACGCTACGTCACTCCACACAGCACAGCAATAAGATTCTGGCTGTTTATATACAAGTTGCTTGAGTGGAATGCATCTAAATACCTTTGTGACAAACTGATCCGGCCACAATATAGGTGCCAAACGAAAACGAATTTTATAGAGCTTAATTTCGAAGATATTTTTGAAGGCGATTGTCACCTGTTTGTAAATGAAATTGTGCATACAGATGGTTTATTTGGCACACACTCTACGGATTTCCCAAGAATGGTCTTAGACTGAAAATAATTCCAATAAATCAAGAGGGCGTGGCGCCTTGCATACAGATTTGAATTTCCATAATGCATAGATATGTATGTCTGGAAGTATTTGTGTAGGAGAATACTGGAACTTGGTATAGAGATATGTATGTGAAATCAAATTCATACTTACGGAGAAAAATGGGCGTTGTTGGAAAAGGGCGGTGGGACCTCCCATACTAACTGAAACCTTCAAATTGCATATCTCTTCAAGTGTTTGGGTTAGAGTACTCAAGCTTGAATGGAGATATGTACGTATGTGTGTGAAATCAATCTCATGGACATAGTTGAGCGTCATTGGACAAGGGGGAGTGGCAACTTCCATGTAAATTGATATTTTTAAGCTTCATATCTCTGGAGATGTTTATTGTAGGCAAGGCACATTAAACAGGTAGTATCAGTAGAGCAAAAACAACATTTGCGTGTATTTTGTTGTTGCTTCTGGTATCGAAAGTGTCAAAAACTGTTCTGAATTTTTTCTTCTAAATCAAAGCGTGCCATGTGAAATACAAAAAATTATAAAAAATAAAAAATTGAAATTGGAAAAAATAAAAATTGTTGCAACTTTCTTTCCTAGTAAATTTGTTTGCTTCTCGAAGCATTGATCCATCCTTTACAAGGGCCAGTAATCAGCGGTTGTGCTGCTGAGTTGGGCGAACGTTCCAAAAGCTGCTATTCAATCGCTTGTTTTGTATGGAAAAAGGTTTCACATGCAAATGGATTTTAACAATTCAGAATTTTTTTGAAAAAAAAATTAAAAATATTTGACATTTTCGAGACCAAATAATTTGAAAATAAATCAAATCAGCTGCTCTACTGATACTACCTGTTCAATGTACCTTGATTGTAGGGGATTGAAACTTGGCAACGAGATGTGTATACAAAATTAATACGAAAAAATTTAATTTAGAAATTAATGGAAAAAATTGGGCTACCTCCCGTATAAATTTACTAGTTTGTACTGCTATCTCTAGAAGTATTCCTGGTAGAGTACTAGGACTTGGAATTGGTATATATAAAATCATCTTCTTCCATATAAAGTTTGTTCGAAACCTTTTTATGTGCAGGTAAGGGCATAAAATGTATATAAATACACAAAACTTGTAAAACGTACCAATAGCGGATGCTCTGAGTTCACAATCTGAAATAGTAATGTGCAATATTCCTGCTGGAGTTGTAAAACTATCGATGGTATATATCACCATCGATAGATTTTAATAGTTTTGAAAAAACATCGATGGACTTCGATACTCACCAAAACAAATAAACTATCGATACTATCCACAACCAATTGGTTATTTCCATAAAAAAAGACAAGTATTTAAATTTACTTACTTACGTGTGTGTACTTACTTTTCCGAAAAATCATTTCAATCATCCTGTGTAAAAAATAATTGAGTCAATTAAATCCAGTACTTTTGTATCAGTATCATATAATTTCGTTTATTTATTTATTTGATTCCAGCTATTTATATTCCAAACACATTTCACAGTTATTCTGTTTTCTGTTTTCTATTTGTATATTTTCTTTTATATCGAATGTATTAAAATCAAAAATTATTATTTAGTCAACTTTAGAAATTAATTTGTTCTCTAAAGTAAACCGTGTATACTTTTTTCTATATATACATTTCTATAAACTAATTGATTGATAAAATTATTGTATGCATTCTTTGTTTTGCTTTGTTCTGCGTTTTGCGAGTAATTTCAGCAAATTTCAAACAAATATTGCTTTCGATAAAAAACCATTTCATTTACCAACAACATTACCCTTTTGACATTTTTTAGTTTTTATTCCATTTATGCATTTGTTACATATTTATGTATGTAAGTATATAACTACTTGTCGTTAATAGATAACTCCATAAAGACAAAGTTTCGCCACTTTATTAGTTTTTTCGTGTGCAAGTGATAATTTCGTACGTGCAATCACAATATGCCAAAAATTTTGATTTTCATTTTATTTTATAATATGCTTTGTAGACGCTAAAATCAGTTTACTGCTTCGGCATTGCAATGTTCTCGCTCACTGCGTTATTAGCTTACTACACTACAAAGTCTCACAAAGAAAAAAGTAAGATTATATTGTCCGGGAAAAGGGTGTAATAAAATATTTGATTTTTGTAATAAAATAAAAATGTCAATTAAATTAAAATCTCTTTGCATTTAACCATAGTAATTCTGGTTCATTGGCGGCTGAGTGGGATAGCTTTTAGCGCCGGACGAACTGGAGGATGATCCAGAAGAGCCCGCAGACGGATTCTCACTGAAAAGTCCGCCGAAGTTACGAGATCCCAAAATTTCACTGATAGGACTGCTGCCGCCACCGCCACCACCCCGGTTTGCGTTGCTGCCGCCTCCACTAAGCAAGCTGCCCAGAAAGTTGCTGGCACTGCTACCACCCGAACCACCACCACTTCCGCCACTGCTGCCGCCACCACTGAGCAAACTGCCGAGGAAGTTACTTGCACTGCTGCTGCCACTACCACCACCGCTAGCGGCGCCGCCGCCGCCTCCCAACACACTGCCCAGCAGACCGCCGAGAATGTTGCTACCCGATGAGCCACTACCTGAGCTGCCGCCGCCGCCATAACCACCGCTTGGCGCATAGCCGCCGCTTGGTTGGTAGCCACCCGCAGCGCCACCACCAGCTCCACCACCGCCACCACCGCTGCCGCCTCCTTGCAAGGTTTTGGCGATTTGACCTGCAATAATACCAGATACAGCTTGACTCACCGCTGGACTAGAGAAGAAATTGGAGAAGAAGCCACCGCCTTCCTTGTCTTTGGGTTTCTGCGGCGTACTACCACCACCATATCCGGGTGCATTTGGCACATAACCACCACCGCCGGCATTGGGATTGTAGCCGCCGCCAGGTTGGTAGCCACCAGGTTGATAACCACCTGGCTGATAGCCACCTGGCTGGTAGCCTCCAGCTGGTGGTTGGTATCCGCCGGGTTGTGGTTGGTAGCCGCCATAAGGATTGTAACCACCCGCAGGCGGGCTATTTGGTAGTGTGGGATAAAGACTATGACCACCAGAGCCACCGCCACCAAAACCACCACCAGCGTTGCCGCCGCTGCTGCCACCGACATTGTTGCCATCACTGAGATCCGGTATCGGAGCGCTTGGATTGTACGAGTTGTGCGTTGTGCCGGTGCTCACTATGCGCAAGCGCATTTTCAATTGTTTATTTACACACATTCATACATACATATATGTGGGTTTTGGTGAATGTGGAGATGTATGTAGGTGTGTGTGTGTAAGCGGTGGTGAATTCAAAGTGTTTCGTAAGATTCAATTCAATTTGTACATTTAAAAGTCGTTTAAGATAAGCGATTATAATTTTGTTTAAGCGGTTTTAACACAAAATATTCGCAGCAGCAGAGCGTAGTAGAGTTGAGTACAGATTTAGCCAAAAAAGCATTTGAACAGAAAAGAAAAACAAAACGAAGATTAGATACAAATAAGCACATAAAAGTAAACGAAAGTACAACACAAATATTAATATTATAAAACTAAGCATATACTACTTAATGAAATCTATTCAGAAAATGCGATGAGATTTGGAACAGAAAAAAATGTGGCTGATGTATAATTTTGTACGTTTGTGCACAATGCGCGAAAACAATTAACTTAATTCTAAATGCTGATCCATAGACAAGCGAAACATAAATGCGAAAAGTTTTATAAGAGTTTTATAAAGGTTTGCTGGCGCAAAACTGAAGAGCAAGTACTCTACCCACGATAACAGACTGAGACTGATTGAATTCGCCGGGGCCCGAAACATGGTAGGATGCTGTACTAGGTTCATATGGTTCAGAATCGAAAAACAAGAAACCAAATCGGACATGTTTTTATAGACGGAAGGCTCAATTCTAGTGTTTTAGACATACCTTCACTACGAGGGCCAAACATCGACTCGAACCATTATCCTGTGGCAGCCAAGATACGCACCCGCATCTCTGCAGCAAAAAATTTGCGCCTAACATTACAAGGAAAGCTCAACGTTGAAAATCTGCATTTAGAGTAGACGACCAATTTATGCGCCACTCGATCCTCATACTTGAAACGTATTTTCCGCAATAAGAAAACAGAGACCGAAATACGTGAGCAGAGAACTAGGCCACTTTCGGAAGGTTTTAAGACCCGGGCGAACACCTTAAGAACAACCATGGCGACCTAGTGACCCTACTCCAGAACGTGCCTAAATTATGAAATAAACACTTTTCCGCCCTATTAAACGGTTGAAGCGCTGAAAGTTGTGGAAAAGATAAATCCGAGCCCCCAGTCGATGAAAGCGAATTCGATTCAGATTAACACTTTCCTGACATCTGGAATGTAAGTGTGCTCTGCCCAATCCAGAAGAAAGGCGACCCGCGCCAACTACCGCGGGATCAGCTATCTAAGCATAGAAGCCTTAACAGTGTGGCTTTAGGCCTGCCAAATCCATACATAGTTGGTGTATTTGTCGATTCAAATCCGCTTGCGACAGCACTAAAAGGAGTTGCCTATATGCCGCGGCATCTGAATTTGGCATTCCCGCGAAACTACTACGGCTGTGTGAAATGACATTTAGCAATACCGCCAGCTTCATCAGAATTGGGAAAACTCTCTCCGAGCCGTTTGATACCAAACGAGGTTTCAGGCAAGGCGGCTCCGTTTCGTGTGATTTCTTGAATCTAATGTGGGAGAAAACAATGAGAGCTACAGAACTGAACCGCTCAGGAATAGTTTACTACAAGAGCATATAATTACTGGCGTTTTCCAATGGCACCGACACTATCGGTAACAGAAACCGCGAAGTCTGTTGATGATCTAAGACCACTGGCTTTGAACGCCGCAGTTGCTGTTTTAAGTCCCAGTGAACTCGATGAAGTAATCTGATGAGGAGTGAACTCCGAAATAGCAGTCTTTCCTCAACATTTTTCATAAAAAATGGTTTCAAGAAGTTGTTCTAAAAGTGCTACCGCGCTAATAAAAAAGTATCGTAAAAAACAATCATAGCTCTAGGTTCCCTATGTTTTTTTTTTCAAAACACTTTATACAGATTTTCCAAACCTCATCCCATTTTAGTTACAATTAAGTACTTTCTAACACAATTGACGAAAATAACTTTTAAAATTAAAAAAAATATATATATATGTATTCAATAAAGTGAACTTGTAACTCTTAAACGCAGTTTATTACAGTTTCTTCACATACACAAATGCATGCTTGCGTGTATGTTGTTTTATTTACTAATTAAAGCCTTTACGCTAATAAATCATACACTCTCCGTTAAATTACGATATATCTAAGTATAATTTCGTTGAATTTTCCTTAAACTATTCAATTCTTTTAATTGTTTTTTTTTAATTGTTGCAAATTCTAAATGCTAAACAACTCTGCAAGTTCACTAAATTTTATAAGTCTTTAGTTTGTGTATTTAATGCCTCAAATACAAGTTCTTTAACAACTAAATACTTTGAACAGAATGCGCATATTTACAATTATTTTTGTTATTATTTTTTTTTTTAGTAGTCCATTTTTGTTAGTATTTGTTATTGACAACAATTTTTGTTTGTTTGTTTTTGTTTTAGTATTAGAGTGAACACAATATTATGAATGGCATTAAATGCTAAATTCAATACTAAATGCCCATTGTTATTAGTTTTTTAGTTAAAATAATTGAATTATTTATATACTTGCTTACATATAATTGTGTCAATATATGCATGTGTGTGTGTGTGTGTGTGTAATTAGTAGCTCTGTTAGTTTTGAATTCGAATGGTCATGCGTAAAAAATGTTAGTAGCGTTTATGAAAATTATTTAATTAATTTGCTAATTAATTTGATTGCATTGGTTTTGAATAGTTGGCAGCTTTTGCTTCAGTTTCCCTTTCCGCTTCCGTTTTTTAATATTTAATTTTTTTTTGATTTTCTCCCTTAGAATTGAATGTGGTTTGTATGTTTGTATGTGAATGCGTATGCAAATAATTAACAACGGACGGAACTGTACAAATAAATTTAATGTTTCACTTAAACGGCTTTTGTTGAATGAAAACGAAAAAAATGTGCCTTGCGGGTGAAAAATATAAAATAAAATTTTATTTTAACTTGGATTACAAAAATATTTGAGATAAACATAACTACACAACAGAAGTATATTGTACTTATTAAGTAGCGTTTATGTATTTGATTTTATGCGTTTTTCATAGGCATGTTTATACATGTTTATATGTACGCATTTTACGGATATTTGCGTTCATTTTCTAAAATCGTACGAGATAAGTTTTTAAATGCTAGCCTTTTGCAAGGAAATGCTTTCTTTCCTTTGTCGAATATCTAATAATAGATGGATATTTATTTATGTACAAAGATATTTGTGTGTTTTTTTCTTTAATTTTTGATTTAGCTAGTTTTTGATTACAATTTTTTCGCGTTTTCAAAGAAATTTTTGGGACAGGTTTATTATTTTTGTTTTACTCAACTGCTGCTTGTTTTCATGCGTATACACTTTTTTTTTTTAGATTTTCGTCGAATTTCGTTGCTAAGCATCTGAAATAATTATCTCGGCTTTTTCGTATGCTACTCAATAATTTTTTTAAGCACATTCACGTACGCCAAAAAATATGCAAACTATGCGAAAGTAGTAAAAACTTTCAAGTGAAATTTGATAGATTTTGAAAAAAAACTTTCTAGTAAAGTAAAATTTAAATTTTTTATTTAAATTTTAAAAATTTGAAAAAACATAAATGTATATAAAGCGAATTTTTCACATTGCATATTTTTAGGCATACTTTCATTAAAAGTTTTTTTTTAGATATTTTTTTTTTAATTTTTAAATTTTTATTATTAATTTTTTTTAATACATACACACATTTGTGGCTATCCTTTTTAAACATCTTAACATTTTATGTAGCTTGATATCTTACATTGGTTCAACGTTTCTAGTGGGTCATCTGTGTTTTTTTTTCGTTTCTCTTGCATGCAATGCTTTGTAATTTTTTTCGGTAATTAATATCTCCTCATAATTTTTGGAATCTGGTTTTAAAAAATTGCTTCCGTTTTTTGATATTTTACACATTTGGCATATTTTTAATTCATTATTAGGTGTTGCTTTAAAGTTAACTGTACAAACTAGCTTATTATTGATTTCTTGTATTCTTTTATGTTTTTTTTTTAATTTATGCTTACAAAATTTTTTTTGTAGGTTTGTTTATTGAAAAAAAATTTTTACTTACTAGCGCATAGTTCGTTGTGCTGACAAAGTTTTAAGAAAAATCCATTAAATGAGCAATAATGTATGAATTTATTTCTGCAGGGTACACGGAAGGCTTCGTCAAAAAATAAATCACTTTTAAGATTTAATTTATAAACGTCTGTACTCAGTAATTATAACAGTTTTCAAACTATTTACATAAGTTTTGAAACTAAATTTTTATGAAACGTTTGCAAATCCACTTCTAAGAAACCTAATTTCGATTTAGAAATATCAACTTCTGTGCAAAATATACAAATGGCTGCAAAGTTTTCAAAATCAAGTTCTTATATCTTGATTACAGTTAATAAGGAAAGCTTATATACACATATACGTTTCGTAAGTTAATTTTGTGGCGATAACATATTTTTGATTGCGCAATGTAGGTTTTGGGATTCTTAGTTTACTGACCCAAGCAAGTAAAGCGCATAACTACAGTGGAGTTTTTATTGCGTTGTATAGCTTTTGGCGCTGGAAATTTCCATAGTGTTTCTGCACTTTTATTAAGTTAAATGAAAGTTTCAGAAAATAAGGATAAGTGTAACAAATTCAATTAAAAGTAGCAGGGAAACAAATATCACCAAAGCAACCCATTTAGTTTAATATATCGAGGAAGCTTTTCGGGAGTATTTGCCGCCCTACTCTTGGTCGAGTCATCATCATGCTTGGTGAACGCGATATACTAACTTCATTCGAAAGTTGATCGTGAATATGCCCAGTTTTCTCGTTAGTTTAGGTTCCTTGCCGTGTTCTATCTCTTAATAAGACTATATCGTCGATGTTTTTGCAAATCCGCCCATCGCCATCTTACGGCACTCAAATTTTATAGGAGAGCGATAAAACGGTTTATTCCTTGAAGGCATTGCCTCGATAGGCGGTATTTTCTCTAGCTAATATGTTACATAACTGTTGTTTTAACAACGATTTAACGATTTGTATGCATAAACCTCGATGCCTAGAGTTCAGGGTTACCAAATCTCATTTTTGCCACAACGGCGATTTAGGCGGTTTTGCAGCTGGTCGATGGGCGGTTTTGCTAAAACATCGACGATATACATTTTGGCTGGTATGTATACGAATATTCAGTAGTATTATCTCAGACATTAGAAGTGTGGTGTCGAATAGGTGTAGCAATCAGACTATTGGCTTCTTAGCCACACAATGTTATTTAAGGTGGCTCTTTCGCGTAATCGTCCGTCTTATGCTTCGCTATTTGGTGGCAAACCCAATGTAAAAAACTCAAAAAGTTGGTCTTTTCCTCGGTCACAGGGTTAGTGGGAACCTCAAGGTTCGAGTCTTTTACATATGTATGACTTTTTGACTTGTAAACAACATAGTCGAGAGATTTTTCAATTCCGCCATTATAAATCTTGAAAAAGTTTTGAATAATCGGTTTATAGATAGAAAAGGAAAGGATTCTCAGGGAGGCAATGTGTTAGTCAGACATATTTAATAGTACGATGACGTTGAGCACCGTTCTGGGCTGCAGGATTGGAGACTACCAAGTGCCGACTAGCAGGCGAGAGATGAATCTTAAGCCGTCATTGTGAGATTGGCAGTATTCTGTTTGAGTTTGAGAAATTTAATTTCTGAATGAAGATGTATATAATTTACGTAAAAATGGCATCAGGTCATAAAGATTTTTCTTTATATTTGTTGTTAGCTATCCGTTTTTCTGCCTCGTGCCAAATCTATTGACTACTGAGTCGCGTAGTATTTAGCACGATGGTCTTCTGCAATAATGACACAACTCAAAATGTCGTGCTTTTAACTCAAAAAGGGCCAAAATGATACAAATGTAACTAAAACACCAACATTGATACGAATGAAACCACTTTTGGGCATATTTATCATTTGAGGATTCAGAATGCAGTTAATTCTTGAAATAAATTTGTCCACCTAAAAATAAACGACTTTTATGGCAAGGAGAATTGTTCATAGAGAATTGAGGATGTATGAATGGCATTCTAACTGCCACTATCGATTTTAAAATTATTTTTATGAATTTTATTTATGCTATTCACTGCGGGTAATTGACGCTCCACTTTTCATCGACTCCTGCCGTAGAAAGCTATTTTTTCTTCCATTCCTTTTTATTCTCAATTTTTTTTTTCAAATCACCCTAGATTTTGAATAATTTGCCATGGATTTATCAAATCGTTTAGCCAACCTGCTGACGATTGTATCAGTGGTTAATGTAATAAATAATTTATTTGACCTTTGACCTACTTATGGTTGGCATAGCGCAAATTTAAGTATTATTAAGGCCACTGTAATCATTGTAATTGCCGGCGTACAGTAAGTGATCATTTAAACTATAAATGTAAGGGAAAGAGGCATAGCTGGTTCTGACTAGTCTTGCTACCTTAATTAGTGAAATTGTATTCATAATCGATGGAAAAATTACTGGCTTGGATAGAGCGTTCTATAATCACAAATCAATGCTGTGATGAAGGTGTGGCACATTGAAGTGATGCAAGAATCACATACGCCATTTTGATAAAATCAATTAAATTTAGTCAACTAAAAAATTGCGGAAACAACAACGAAAAAGATGGTTAAATTTTGATCTAAAAAAATTTTAATACTTAGTTTTGGAATCTCCATTGCAGTTATTGGCTTATTGCTTTAAACAAATCTAAATTTTTGATTTTTAACTTTTGCGTACAAATTCTTTACACAAAAAAAAAACTGAAATTTCAATTTTTCTTAAAACAAAGCGCTAACTGAATTTGATCAAAATTAAAATACAGCTATTTTCAAACCCATTAAACACTAAATAAACGTTGACCGTTACCAACAACACTACACGAACACTTCTGCCACATCGACGTCATGCAACATTACGTGCTGCGTTCGCAAGCCAAACGCTGCGATACCAGCGCCGTCAACAAAGCGTAACCGCATGCAACCAAAGTAAGCGTCTGCCAACTAACAGCTCCTCCTCGATGCGCTGCGCCCGACGGGTGCGGCTGTGTCTGGCGATTGTAGGGATTCTGGTTCTGATATTGCGGTGGTGGTTTGTTGTACATATTCGCATTTTGATAGCCTACATTGCTGTTGCCATAGTAGCCGCTAGGTGGCGCCAAACCGCCGCCGCTGCCGCCCAATATGCCATTACTGCCTCCCGGTGGGCCACCAGTGCCGCCTGGCATCGAATAGTACGGCTGTTGGCCGAATACGAAGCTCGGACTGTAGGGGTTCACCGGCTGCAGACTGCCTGGATAGCCGGGGTTCAGCACACTACCTGGATGATTAGGTTGGGGAAATTGTTGAAATGAGGGTGCTTGTGTGGGTGAGTTATAGGGGAAAATGGGCAGATTGGGCAGGACTGGCACCGACTGGGGCGCACCGAACACATAATGGGGATCAATGCCGCCGGTGCCGCCGCCGTTCGGTCGTAGCTTTTGCGCGCTGCCGGGCGAGTCATTGCCGCCATCATCGCGACCATTGTTGCCATAATTTGAATTCACATTGTTGCTATTTTTATTCGCATAGCCGTTAATGTTGTTAATACCGCCACCGGGTGATGAGTTGCTGCCAGTGGCGGACGATGATGAGCCGCCGCCATTGCTGCTGTAGTATGTGTGCGTGTTAAGCGTTGGATTGGATGAGGCGGATGAGAAGATGGCGTGCTCGGGACCAGGCTTGTAACTGGATCCTGAGCCGAGTGAAAGTGGAGTGTAGATGGTTAGAGGATGCAGAAGTTAGATGATTTTTTTATTTTTTTATTGACATTTTTGATGCGTTTGTTATGCCGACAGCCAAAGTGTTAGAAAGAGGAAGAGAATTAAGAAATATGCATTTGTTATTTCAGAGCAGTGGGAGAGAAAACGAGTAGGTTATATGTTGATAATTGTTAATTGATCTACATTAGATACCAACAAGAGAGTATATTTAAAACATGCGTGGATTTCAATTTTCATACTACGGTTTACGTACAAATAACAACAAGAAATGCAGTGCACAATTAAGGGTCTGTCAGCTACCACGACGACTTTTAGTTTACGTTTCAAGCTTAATGATTAATGATTTAAATGATTGGGTAGTGACTGAAGCAAACAATAATTAGCAAAACCAAAAGAGAACAAGGATGATTATAAATACGAGTATCTTTTTCAACAAAGCAACATAAAAAAGTTAAATTAAATTTGAATTTTTATTGCGAATGGTTTTGTTATTTAGACTGTGAATTGGAATTTGCGTCGTTATCATGATTTTCATGTATTTTGATGTGTGTGTGATGTATTTCCCATTTTTGCGATGTTATTTGCAAGCGTTGTGAGGCCAATTCGTGAACTTATTCAATTCTATTCACTTCAAGCGACAGTTTTGATCTTACTTGTGAGTGTTTTGCAAGAACTTTGTCGAAATCCTACTAAATTGCTAGTCAAGCTTATAATTTTAACGTAAAAATATAAATAAATAAATTTTGATTGATGCATTTTTTTGGGAATTAGAATTGTAATGTTCTATGCTCAAACACAAATTTAAATTTGTTCTCATAAGAGCTGTGGAGTCAATGTCAAAGAGTCTTAAAGACCTCCAAACTGTTGTATGCTTTTCTCAAAATATCTTTGAAAAATATAACCTACACTGGAGCATTTGGCAATAATTTACTACGTTGATTATATGGGTGGCTAAATGACGGAGGCTTGCTTCAGTGGGTTTAATCGTTGATGGGTGAAGAATGTATACACAAAGTTGCAGCGTTTAATTTTCAATAAACATTTTCAGATTAGTCAATAATTCTGTTCAATTTGGATGGTAAGCTTTAACTTGATTCCGCGTAGGCTGTTTTGGATCCTTTTTGCGCGCATCACACGTTTATTTATTTATTGCCGATGTCCTGCTAAAGAGATTTAGGGTTTCGTTGACAGTTCCCCCAGTTTGGTAATTCCCTTTCAGAGCGCTTCCTTTATCGTCCCGGGGTAGGTCCTACTCAAAGAAAGGGCTCAGGTCTTATTAGAATCGAGGCAGCAGCCATTCTAACTAGTTGATCGGCTTCTTATTTTCCTTCGACTCTTATGTTCCCATATAAGTTGGATAGCATTGTCCTCAGAAAAGGAAGTTAAGATTCCCTAGCCGACCCAGGGCCAATGAGGACTAGACCTCGAAGTATGAGAGAGCCACAAGTGCCGTCTGACTCTCATTTAGTATACGGATATTATCTCTTCGATAATTTTCTACAAAGGTTAATCTCTGCTCACAGGCTAATGAGATTAACTTCATCTTGAAAGATGCTTGGGAGGTACCCAAGGGAACTGGAGGCTTCAGTTTACGATCACATACGCCTGCTCCATAATAAATTTACGGGCTACAAGGTGCCAAGGCAGGATTTTGGCATAGATGTATGTACATGTGTGGCTTCCATCTTGGTATCTACTTAACGGGTCCAGGATGGTTTGATTACACTATTCAAAGGTAAGAATCCAACAATATTATCCAATACTATCTAACTATTAAAAAAGCTTTAGTAGTACTAAATCGAAAATCATTCACCGAACTCCATGTTGGAGTGACACCGCTAAGCCTTCAGGAAAGGGTTTCCTGTCTGTAATTCTTCGAATTTAAATTGTTTATATGACATTTGGGTTCGGCCAGAAACGATTAGAGTGGTGGCTGTGAGTGAGTGCCCTATAATGCCTCCCTCTAAATTATCACCTCTTTAAGAAACTCATTCAATACGAAGGTTAACTTTTGCATTGAGTTTTTCTAATTCCCAAAAAAATTAAACACCAATAATAGTCGAAACTAAATAGGTCTTACTGTTGCCTTACGAGTACTAAAACTAAAGTTTTAATCAAAAAAAAAAACGAAATCAAATTAAATTAAAAAATATAATCACCTGACGGATTAACTGGCGCCGACGACGACGAGCTGGAGCCAGATTTCCTCTGACATTTCGGATAGTTGCCGCAGTCCTTGCCTTCGCGCTGAGTGTAGCTGCACGAATCGCTGGTGATGACACACTCCTCGCTGGGCAGACAGCCAATGTCGTTGCAGCCACGTCCATATTCTGCAGTGGCGCAAATGGCGCAAATGGCGCGACGACAATGCGGACGGGGAGGCGTGCGTTTTTCGTTGTTGTTGTTGTTGTTGTTGTAGTGATTGTTGATTTGATAATGTTTTTGTAGGACAAAAAATAAAAATTCATACAATAAAGAAGTATAGAAAAGTAAATAAGTAAAAGCAAGAATACAATAGTAGGAGAACATAAGAATGGAGTAGGGGAAAAAAAACAACAAAAACAAAAGAGATAAGTATTTGAGTGTAAACGAAAGGAATGACGAATGAAATGGAATGAAAGACATTCATATTTGTGTGCCCGTGTTTACTGTTTGTGGCTTGGTGTGGGGGGTGGCGGGTGGGTGCTGTGTGAATGGGCTGATAATAAATAATGTTATGACATGTTGACAACACTGGCACGCGTGAAAATTACTCAAATATTTACAAAATGTTGCGGAAATTGATGAAAAAGTGAAAATGCGTGAAATATGCGCTCGCCATTGGTATGGGTGTGTACATGTGTGTCAGTGTGTGGTGTGTGCTTGGAGAATATGAATTGGTATTGTATTCGTGTGCGCGTGACCGGAAGTGTAATGGAAAATATGCTCGAGTGCTGAGTGAGGGGTTTGGTGTGAATTTTCCACTTGAATGTTTACATAAAGTAGAAAAGGTTTTGGGATTTCAGTCAGAAGTCGAAAGTTGTTGGTGATTTGAACATTTAAGTGAAGATGATGCTGGTGAGTTATGCAAAACTGTAAACTCCTTAAACGGTCATATGTAAAATTCGTTACTTTTTTTGTGGTTGGTGAAAGAGAACATAGAAACATTCCGGAACGAAGGAATGCAACGCGGAGGCAAGAAGCAAACAAACTCGTTTATGGAAATTTAAAAATTTAAAATGTCATGATTTTTTTTATTTATTTTATTTTATTTATCACTAATGCAATTTAAGTTGACATTACTTTGGACACTCTTAATTTTTTTTAATTAAAAAAAATTTGCTTAGATACCATTACCATATTTTTTCAGAACCGATTTCAAATAAGTGTGTGAAATTCAGAAACGATGTTTTGTTTTTTTTATTATACAACAATCTCTCAACACTTGATTTCTGCTTCTCTCTCTCGCGCTGCATTCAACAAAAACAAAAATCTCTTTGAAATTTGACGAAATCCAGTTAGACGGAAAAAAGTTTCAAATAACTGTGATGTAATGAAATAAGTAGTTACTCAACAATACTGAACTGAAACGAACACTTAGCGACTCATAAATAATTGTTCTTGTACATACTTGAAAAGGAGTTAACACTGCTGAAGATGCACAGCAGCAATATGGCGCTGGCAGCACTACCAGCGGTGCCCATACTCGGCCACATGCTCGCCTACGTATCCTCCAAGTCGTCGTCCTTTACTTCCTATTGCTGGCTGGTTTCGCCTCCGCTCTTCAAATGCTCGACCGCTTAACGCTCTGCTGCTTTTGTGCTGTCTTTGACTTATTACTGTGGCTTCAATATATTTTATAAGAAAAAAAAACACCGCTTGGCTGCTCCTTGCCTTCAGAAGAAACAATATTTGTTTTACACACTATCGAAACACACAAGAAAGCAATATTGCCGGCTTTTAGGCGTTAGAGATGCGGGAATTCTGCAAAAGAGAGAGAGAGATATAAGCACATTTGTGTAAAATTAGACGCAATGAAATATGAGCATCAACCAACAAAGAAATTGAAAAAAAAAAAAAACTATTTGAATGAAATTGTCTAAAGTTCTATAAAATATGTATGTATGTGGCAGTGTGTGGGGCAAAAAGCATTTCGGCAAATATAATGAAACTCTTGTCTGCGTTATTTGTTTGCCAAAACTACAGTTCTTTTTGTTGTTGGTGCATATGTCTCCAGTTTGATAAATATTTGTTGATGTCGAATGCGGATGATTTTCTTTGCTTGCTCATATTGGTATGACACTTTGATACGCTTTATTTACGATTGCGGCATTGCGACAGAGTAAATGAAAAAATAAAAAAAAAAACGGTGTTCATTCTCAAATTTCGAAAGCCTCTTTTTACAAGTTGTATTAATGCAGCAAATTTCAAATTGGACTTTGGTTGATTGCGTTTCAGCTTTGGTGGAAGGACGCAAATATTTAATATTGTATTTATAGCATTTACTTATATACATGCATTAGGGCGATTTTTTTTGCGATTATTGTTTTTTTTCACTCCTACCTCAAAATTTTGTGGAAAAAATGATGATGCGTTTCCTTTAGAATTGAATGCTCTATAAAAGTATCCATTGCGGGGTAATCCTAACTCCCACCGGCGAGGCAGTACTGGTCACTAAACCCAATTTTTGATGAAATTCTCGTTTTTTGTCCCTATCTCGAAAATAACAAGAGCTATAGCAAAAATATGAACGGCAAAAAATGTCATCGCAATGACACAGAGTTTAAACCATTAATTACTTTGCAACAATTTGATTTTAAGAGAAGTCTATTTTAATTTTATAAATTTACAGTTCGAAATGTGCTCGTGATAAATTGTGAATTAAATATTGTATATGTATATTTCTGTATATACATATATATGCGAGAAATATACAAATTTTATAAATGTTATACAATTTTATTTATAAAATTTGAAGTTACATATAGTGACAAACAAAAGTATTGGCACAGAGAATTTTTCGCAATGTATGCAAAGTTTTTTTGTTCTTATTTCTTTTCGCTATTTTTTTTTATAGAACCTAGTTCATACCTGCAATAAAACACATAAAAATAAAACCTCTAAACTTAGTTCAAAACCCAGGAAAATTGAACAACTTTGCATACTAATTTGGAACTTTCTCATCAGATTTTTTTAGAAAATTTCTAAGTATGTAATTTTATATCCAATTTTATTTTTGAAGAACTTAGTAGAAGTTTGAAGTTACTAAAACACCGCGCTGATTTTCGGACTCTGTTATTATTTTCTTCTATGCAAAAAAAAAAAACAAATTTTGAACGTACATACATACTTTGTATGAAAGTAACTGAGCGCAAAAATAGTCAAAAGCTAACGCGATTTTTAGCAACTTTAAACTTGCATTTAAATGGGCTATAAAAACTGCATACTCAGCATTTTTCTAAAAAAAATCTGATTAGAAATTTGCAAATTAGTAAGAAAATTTTTTGAAATTTTCTGACTTTAGCACAAAGTTAAGAGATTTTATTTTTATATTTTTTTTTGTTGTAGTGTGAACTATATCTTTGTAAGAAATTAGCGAAAAGGAATTAAAAGAAAAAACCTCTGCGTATATTGCGAATAATTCTCTGTGCCAATACTTTTGTTCGTCTCTGTATACATTACCGAAACTGGAGCATAAATGCTGCACTAAAATGCAATGATTTTTTTTTATAAAAAAAAAATTAAAATCCGCAATATATCCCATCATTTTACGGACATGTTTTTATATTACAAGAAAAACAAATTACTCGTATGATGCTTTTGTTTGTTGATAAGTGATTTTTTGCACTGAAATTCATTGCGTATTTGGTATTTTGTATCACTTGCCAAAAAAACCTAACGCTTTAAGTATCCCAGCGATGTTAATTATGCGTGAAAATAGTAGTAGTTAATTAAATTTGTCACAATGTCAGCATATATATGAAATTAAAATTTTACGCTAATACAATTTCATCAGCAATTTAAAGAGTAGTAGAGGCAGCAATTTGAAAAGCTTACAAATTACAAAGATTACAAACGCCTGAAGTTCAAAAAATTGTTCAAGAAAGTTGAAGAAATTAAGGAGATATAACTGAAAAACAACGGTTTCTAGTAAAAACGAAGCAAAATACATATAGCTCAATATCTACGTCAAATCGACCAATGATCGGAGTCGACCATTTCTTGATTTGGATAAATTATGGTCATAACTTTTTTTATTATCACATAACAAAGTTCTACCAAAGTGAAAAAATAAAATTTTCCAACGTTGAAAATTTAACAATTTCCTGAATAATGCAAGTTTATTTTTTGCATATCCAACAACTTACGGTTAAAAAAATGGTGCTGGGCTTGTTTGATGTTTGGAAATATGTGATAAAAAGAGTATATTTTATTCGAAATGAAAAAAAATACAAAACTTGAAAATTAAAAAAAATAATTAATTAAGTACAATTTTTTTAACATAAAAAAAAAGTTTTTCATAGTCCTTCACATTAAAAAATAAACACTTTGAAAATTTAAGCATCTTTTCAGATTTGGTATTGTACAAAAAAATAATTATAGCTTTCATCATATAATCTTTAAAAAAGGAATATAACTATTTTTGTAAGATTTTCAAAAAAATAAACTTGCAAAATCCGGGAAGTTGTTAAATTTAGTATTTTGCATAACTTTGGAAAATAAGTGCTGGCTTTTCCCTTTGGCAGAGCTTAGTTATATGATAAAGTAAAAGTTCTGACCAAAATTCATGGAAATCAAAAATGGTCGACTCCAACCATTGGTCGATTTGGCATGGATTGACCCATATCTAAATTTCTATTTGTATTAGTATTTCCTAGAATTATTCCAAATTGTTTGTCCCAGCCAGCACCGGGCGGATGGGCTTAATCGTTTGGAGGTTTAAACCTAGCATAGTTATTTGTTTCTACTTGCTCATAAAATTAAATACAGAAATATGAAGCTATGAATTAGAGCTCATCTTCCGTCGACAATCCCGGCTGGTTTTATTTCCCACAACTGTGAGAAAAAAATGTTAGCTCACACATTTCTTTGCCAGTTAGAAAAAATGGTTAGACAACAGCAGCTGTGCAACTGAATATACCCTGAAGACCCAAACGAGATTTGAGGCAATTTTCTTGGCTTATTTGCGACACACATTCGTCGTCGGCGTAGTTGCTGTTGCTACTTTAGCTGCTGCTGACAGAAAGCGGATGCAAACTCTTCTACAATTTCACTTAAATGTCATTTCGCCTTCAAGGCTTTTGAATTTTTTGGAGAATGTGTTTAGATATTTACTAGTTTTGTCTTTGTTTCCCGCAACGCCTCGCTGGGCTTGGCACTAACATAACAAATTTGTGGTTGCCAAAAAATGCGAACGGTACTGGAAGTATTTTGCTACTAAAGCAGTTAAATGTGGGATGCGAATTTGCATTTTGTTTATTTTTGGCTTGCATTTTTAGTGCAAATGCAACGCTTTCGTAGGAGTAGGCAAACTAGCGACATGAATTCTGTGGGTTCTTTCAATGGTCTAACTTGAACCACCATTGACTGTATCTGTGCATCTGTGCATCAAATGTTGTTTTTAAAGTTCAAAACTTCTGCAATAGGAAATCTGTAAAACTTTCTATCAAAGTGTGAAATTCGCACTCTCACCAAAGTAATTTCAAAATAACTTTACTATGCAGTGGAAATACTTTCTACAAATTAGCAGCATTACAAAAGCGAATTGGAACGATTTGTCAGTCGAGCAGAATTGAGCTACGGCAAACTCTTCAAGATACGAGCACTTAATTAAAAACATTGCGACATTTCTCTGCCGCTGTCCTTTCGCTTCCTTTCTTCGCTCGGTTAACAACGAAATTTTCGTTCCCCATTCAAGCGAGAGCAGTAAAAGAGTTACGAGTATTTGTCAGCGGCTCCCAGTAGCTACTCTCGACAATGACGAATACTCAACAAAAGCTGGGAATAATAGTTTTGTTTCGCCTCACACCTTACTTGCTAGCTCGCTTTGTTATTGCAGCTGCATTTCTAGTTGTCGTTCCTGGCTGCACTTTGATAACTTTAAAATTTGTCTTCAGTTTGGGCTATTTATCTTTGCCAAGTTTTTTTCATAACGACTTTTACTTCAGTACTAGCATGAGGTAGTAGGTAGAGATGCGAAGTGTTCGCTGTGCCACGGAAGTTCGAAGCAAGCAGTGTTCGTTACGATACTTATTTATGTATGTACGTGCTACTGGTGTAACGGGAGATACGAGTAATTTTGAAAGCTAAATCGAAAGGAGTTAGCTTTTTTGGACAAACGTGATTTGCAGATTATTGTTACATTAACCATGACTCTCAAACGAGTGCCTCGAAACTGACTGATAAAGCAAATTCGAATTTATGTAAATTGGTCCAAGGACGACGAGAGTACATTCCAGCCCTAGTTCGGATGAGGCATATGTGCTTTGGAGATAAACCCAACAGATCTCCTTGTTTCACAAAAGCGACGCTCCACCTGGATAAGCTTCAGAGACTCTACTAAGCGACGATGAATCATCGAAAGATCGTATGAAGCAGTGGTCAGTTTTTGGAAGATGATATGGTATGGCAGTAGAAGACGCAACGGCGATTGCTGATGATTTTCATATAAAAAGTTAGTGTAAAGTGAATCCCTTTATTCATATACGGCAAGTAGCCGTCCAAATTAGTTGATGCATTTTCCCCAAGGCTCTGTATTTTAATAAACAGTTCATGGTAGACTCTATAAAGTCCTAATGACTTATGTACAAGAAGTTTAGAGAAACGACCGACTGCATTAACTTTAAATATGAATTTTTGGCTTTTTGAGGGTAGGTGGAAAATATAGTAAACATAAGCCGTTTGCGCTGAAACTTGATATGTGCTCTAAGGAAATATGGCAGCAATGGGCTCTATGCCACGCCCTCCACCGTACGAAAATATCG